CAGCAAGCAGAGGGCAATCAGGGGAGGCCGAGCACCCAGACCCTTCCTCCCCATCTTCCACACCCTGTCCCAAGCGCTGAGAGATGTTTTTCGGTGTCACCGGCGCAGCCTGGTACAGCCCTTGCGAGCAGCTGTGCACCGACACCGTGCAACGAGGTGGTGTGAACCGGGCACCGCTCCAGTGCGCGGAGGAAAGCGAACAGGAACGCTAATAGGAACCAGCTGGGGACCAGCGCACTGCTCCAATCCCCTCCCAAACAGCTCTTGCAAGAGCAGCTCAGGGAAATGCAACTGGAGGTTCCCCCCCAACTCCTAAGGGTTTCTTTGCCTTTTTTTTTTTTTTTTTTTTTTTTTTTTTTTTTTTTTTTTTTTTTTAATTGAAAACACACACACGCACGCACAAGCTGCTGTTGAACACTGACCCCCTCCGATGCCTGCAGAAAGCCTGGATACCAGAGAACTGGCTCCGTCCCAAACAACCATCGCCACCGAGGTCCGTGCTCGGTGCTGCACAGAGCCCGGGACGTTTCCTGCCCCTACAACTCCCCGCTCCGAGGAACTCGAGCTCCGCACTTCCTGCCTATTGCTATCTGCCCTTTCATATGTATTTTCCTGCAGCTTCTTGTATTTAATTACAGTTGGCTATTAATACATTTTTAATCACACTCCAGGCACACGGGAAGCGTGTGCCTTCAGAGGACAGGCATACACACTATGTATGTTTAAGTGCACCCAGCTCCGCCACCTCCACGCTGCCGTGCCCATCGCCAGGAGCCCGGTGAGGGCACAGATACCACCAGCCTCGCTTTTCCACCCGAGCCCTGGCTCCCCTGGGCAGAGGTGAGGAGGGGGAAAGGGACTCCCACGCCAGCCCCGCTCTCCCAGCCACCGCAGCAAAGCCCTGCCAGCTCCGGACAGCCAAGCCCCATCCCGTGCAAGGAGCCCAGCGTTGAATCCCAGCTCCCATCCGAACCTGTGCTCGGCCCATGCGACCTGGCAAAGGTGCAAGCCCACGAGTAAACCAAGCGAGACCTGCCCCTGGGAGCAGCTACTCCTGCGGGCAGGGGCCTGGCAGCACCGGGTGCAGGCAGGGGTGCAGCACCTGCAGGAGAGGCTCTGGGGGGACTGGCAGTGCAGGCTGCTGCCCCAGCATCCCCCCAGCCTTCACCCACCTTGGCAGCCTCGGGGGACCCTGGGGACACACTCGCATTCGCAGTCACCGCTCAGTGACCGCCCGAGGGGTCCTCAAAGCCTGCGGGGGGGGGGGGGCAACACCCGGC